CAGTGTTTTTCAACCTTTTTGAATACGCGACCCCTTTACAAGTTAAAAAATTCTGGCGACCTCCCTAGGGCCATATTAAAACTATATCAGTGATTTAAAAAATTATGTATTTAATTTTCTTTCTGTTGAGAGAAATTACTGTTGACTAAAATGAGAATTTAAGGAGAATCGACAATAACTTAAGACACGTATAGTATGTTACTTTCTTCTTATAACAATGGGTTCGGAGTGCTGTTGACCTTTTTTTTAGGATGAGGGTTTTTCACTTCTACTTTTCTACTTATTATTTCTTTTTACATGTCAGCTCAACACTTTTTCGGCGATCATTTTCTGGGGTGGGCCGTACCCACCCAGGCCCCTCCCAGTCGACACCCATCGTTCGGACCTAAATGTCAATAAAAAAACCAACTGTACTGTATAATAAACAGATACAGCCTTCTCGCTGAAATTGTAGTTTTTTAAATGTAGTGTAGGACCTACAAACACTTGTCTTTTTCTTTTACCCGCGATCCCCCGTGTAAGGCTTCGCAACCCCCTGGGGGTCGCGACCCACAGGTTGAAAAACACTGGTCTAAGTGTTGTGTTCCCATAACTTAACAAAGAAACAATTTTGCCCCCGAGAAAATTTGATTAATTAATTGATAATTTGAATAATTGATAAAGTGTGAAGGACGGTTAATATAACTTTAGCATACTTAATTATACAGTAACAATCTAAGCATTTTCTAGAATCAAATGCTTTTAACTGCACATGAATCTACAATCGACTTCAAGAAAGGTTCTCTTACAGGGCAGAAAGAAAAAATTAAAATACTCTTATTCAACGATATTTAGAAAACCAAATTTCCAAATTTGGTAAGATGACGTTTCAGGACATGCAGAAGACATTTAGGGGGATAGCGATGTAACTCATCAGTCATCACTATGGAGTTTTTGGATTGGATTGGATTATAGTTATGGTACAAGACAACGCAACTCATGGTGATATGCAACGAAAAAAGATACCTCTAGGGAGGACTTTCTATGATAAACTGGCTCCTATTTAGGTTGTTTAACAGTGTCTTTCAAGTGGGGACACTCAATGTGTTCCCACAACCAAAAGTCAAACGAATTAGATCAAAAGATTCAAAATAACATAGTGATGAGTTTTGATACTATATATAATTATATATATATATTTACATGTTTATTTTTTACAGAAATTATCCTAAATATAGGAAAGTACTTTAATTAGATCATTCGGTAATGGAAATCTTAAATATGCCGAAAAAAGTTTTAAGATTAAAACTGCTAGAATTTGAACAGAAAGTGATAATTCCTCAGTCTGTAAATACTTTATTTATTTTTTATTTGCATTGTTTTAAAATATTCTGGCTTTTCGTTAATAATCTGAAATGTGTAAATAAACTGAATTTTTATCAAAGAAAAGAAAACCAGCAATTTTTTAAGAAAACTTTTGTTTTTATAAAATAACCTTTTTTAGAATAATCGGAATTTTTATAATATATTGGTATAAAATATTAAATTTTATATTTTGAAATGTTTATTAAAATTATTTTTTTCATTTCATTAAAAATAAAATATTATTATACTGTATATCTAACAAAAAATCATGCAACGAGTTGCCTAACAGGCAAAAACATTTAAAATTGCGTGTGGCGCCATCTGTTACGTTATTTTATTAAAAATTTTTTTTTAATATTATCAGTTACTGTATTATAAAATGGCAAAAAGCCTAATTTTCAGAATAGACAGGACTTAAAATTAAAATTGTAAATGCTAATAACGAGTAAAATCGTCATTAAGTCTTATCCTACTGGAGATACACGCGACCCCCTTTATCTCCCACCCCATCATCCCGACCTTTAATTAATCACCAAAATTTAATAGCATCAATCTCCCTAATAAACAAACCACTCTGCAAAATTTCAGAATTTTTCGACGAAAAGCACAGGAGTTATTAAGCTTCAGAGTAAACAAAATTGTGCCCTCCACACACACTAATATTCATACATACAGAGAAAATCCTAAATAGTTTTTGCATTTCTCGACATTTCAAGTTCCCCTGAATCCAAAAATGTAAAACTCTTGAAGGTCATTTTTTGATTGTTCGCCATACTATCCCTCTGTTATATATAACCGAGCCGAGAAAGTAAAATTAATGAAAGAAAATTGTAAAAATACGAAAATAGATGATTTTTTGTTTTATTTGGTTTTTCTTAAAAAATAATTCTTGTTCTTGATATCTGTTAAGAAGTAGGGGAGACCGGGGCAACTTCGGCATGCGGGGCAAGTTTGTCAAGCGCTTTTTTTTAAAAACAAATTAAAAGGAGACTTTGGTTATAGGTTAGGCAGTTGAGTTTTATTGGTGGCTTGTTGAGTGTAGTGTTTTTATTGTTCTCCAACAAGCGTAGTT